ATGTCTATTCATTATGACCATACCTATTCAAATCTATCTATCTATCTATCTATCTATCTAAGTCTATTCATTATGGCCATACCTATTCAAATCTATCTATCTTTTTATGTCGATTCATTATCTATCTATCTATCTATCTATCTATCTATCTATCTATCTAAAAGACCATCCATATACATCTACCTATCTAGAAAACCATCCATATTTATCTATCTATTTATCAGATTTTTCATATCTGTCTGTATCCTTATCTACCTATCAAACAATTTATCTATCTATCTATCTATCTATCTATCTATCTATCTATCTATCTATCTATCAGACCATTCTTATCTATCTATCCATCAGAGCACTTATATCTATCTATCTATTATTCTATCAGATTATTCATATCTATTTATCTATCTATCAAACCATCAATATCTATTTAACTCTTTCTTCTTTACTATCTCAATAATACATATATCCAAATTTATTCATATGTATCTATCTGTCTCTGTATCTATCTATCTATCTATCTATGTCTATTCATTATGGCCATACCTATTCAAATCTAGCTATCTATCTTTTTATGTCGATTCATTATCTATCTATCTATCTATGTCTATTCATTATGTTTATACCTATTCAAATCTCTTCATCTATTTATCTATCTATCTATCTATCTATCTATCTATCTATCGATACAACGTTTAACTATTCTTGGCAGATCTATTATCACAATGTGGGATATTTAATATAAAAAAGGACGGAAACAAATACAAAAAGAATCTAAATGAAATCGGTTTGATTATATATCCCAAATACATTTAAAAATATCATCTTTAAATTTAAAATTCCCAGTGTCTCTTGTCCGTGTGCAAGTGTAGTCTCATCGGCGTAAATATAAACTTATTGCATCTCCAATCCTACTAATAAAAAACAACATTAAATACTTACATTGGGCACCTATGTACCACACTCTCTCGAAGACTGGCCAGTCACCTGACGAAACACAGCGCAATCCGTGCACACATCAACCAGCACATGATAAACAACCAAAATATAACCATCAACATAAGACAGATATTAGTAATGAACACTAAGATACTCTATAACATCCAATACCAGAAAAAAATCGAAATCCTAGAAATTTTTATTCAAAATAAACAATAAAAGTTCAATTGTAGTATGTTGCCAGCACAGAATATAATTCAGACTTTGTTTTGCGCTGCTTATGTATATGTCATATAATGCACTTTGTAAAGGCATGAATGCACTCCTCCCTTTAATCTATCCTTTCAGTAGCTATCTTGAGAAAATATCTTGTAACAGGAATCTCATAGTGATTGATGGTTAAGATACTAAACAAATGATCTCTTAGACAAAGAACTTAGTCAACCCACCCACCCCCCAATAATTATCATAATAATTATAACCGAAAAAAAACATCTCAATGTCGATCCTGTCTATCTTTTACGATCAAGTACGGATTGAACCTATAAACAGAAAGATTTAGTTAGAAAAAAAAGAAAAGAGTAATTAACAGTTATGTAATATCAGTCCTCCTATATGGCAGCGATTATAAATATCAAAAGACTGAGATAGATAGATAGATAGATAGATAGATAGATAGATAGATAGATATGAATACACCGAGATAGATAAATAGATAGATAGATATGAATACAGTGAGATAGATAGATAGATAGACAGACAGATAGATAGATATATAATAAAAAGACTGAGATAGATAGATAGATAAATAAATAGATGTGAATTCACTGAGATCGATAGTTAGACTCAAACGCACACACGTTTGTCTGAAATACTTCTATTTGTGCCAATGAGATGAAATTTCATACAATAATGTTTGGTTTTGCTTGGTTTGTTTTGTTTTACGGCATATCAACCTCAATGGGTTATTTAATGCCGACAAAATTTTTATTGCTGGTAATATTTTGTTTTGTCAAAAATCTATTTCTGGTAATAATTTTTTTTTTTTTTGTTCAAAAATGTATTGCTGGTAATAATTTCTTTCAAAAAAATATTGCTGGTTATAGCTTTTTCCTCAAAAATGTATAGCTTGTAATATTTTTCCCAAAAACGTATTGCTGGTAATAGTTTATTGCTGATAATAATTTTTACAAAGTATTTCTGGTATTAAAACCTATTTTTACACTTTCATAGTGTTTTTACTCTATTTTCGGAGTTAACTATTTGCCCATAGCTGGGACCCTAACAGGTGCTACCACCCCGGGTCAGGGTGGACCTGGGAACACCAGCAATCAAGAGGTGGTTCCACGCTCCTCAAAACCTCCTAATCAGAGGCCTTGCTGCTGGGCGTAGTTTATCGTCTTACCCAGGACGCAGATGTAGTTTATCGTCATACCCAGGCCGATGATACAATAATGAACACTCTAAGTATAGATGCGTATGGGTGAGCATTTATCACTCTCATTATATATATATATATATATATATATATATATATATATATATATATATATATATATATGTTAGCATTCACATATATATGTAATTAATTATGCTAAACAAATGCACATTTGCATTCATTGGTATGTACAGTCATGTTTATTATTTCATCGACGTAAGCTCTGTCTTCATTGAGCACTTGTCTTTTTACTGCAGCTAAGCTTTTGTCCGCTTATTTGTAATATATATATATACAGAGTGCGATGGATAAAATGTCGTCTAAATCAAAACAAATAACGCGCATGCGCGTAATTAAAATATAAAATGGCAACAATTTACCCATCGCACCTATATATATATATATATATATATATATATATATATATATATATATATATATATATATATATAATTAAATTCTACACATCTAAAAACGTTAATTCGTTCCCTGTTCTTTTGGAAATTTCGCTTGAGGATGAAACAGAGCTTGATACTTTAATTCAATTTAATTTTAATAATTATATTGAAGTTTTTGGCTCCTGTTTTTGAAACATGTGAATTCTTATGTACCGAAGATATATTTTAAAAATAATTATATATATATATATATATATATATATATATATATATATATATATATATATATATATATATAAATTAAATCCACACATTCAAAACGTTACTTCGTTCCCTGTTCTTTTACATTCTCACCCCGGCTTAAATCCCTCACCATTTAAATTCCTTGAACAATCAATTAAGATTAACTCATTATCTAGACACCTGTCAGGCACAGAACTCCTTCAGCTCTTTAGATGAATCAGCTTCGTATATGACTCTCAATTCTCACAAAAAATGTGGGGTTTTTTATACTTTTTTTTCCAGATCAAGTTTATGCAACTGAAACTTCTTTGTTCCTCACGTGGCCTAGGGGATTTAAAACCTAATCGGGTGGGTCATGTGTAAGCCATGAAATAAATTGGCAAATCTTGTGATCTAGTGAGATCCTCGGCCCTCATGATGTCTTCTTCCCAGCATATCTGGCCAAACGATAAAAAAAATACCTCGTATTGATCATCTACACAAATCCTTTCTCAACACCCTACCCCCTCCCCTCTTCATTTTAGTACATTTAGACTCGCCTGCGGAGAAGAGGACCACAGCATCACCACGCTTGATGTTGCTGCTGCGTTTTCTGTTGTAAGTCGATTTTACGTGATGGCATTGCCAGCACCATGCTCAGTCTTGAATTTTGAGCTGTCTTTCTCTTAGACTGGTTGACAATCACGACTAGAGAGCCCAATTACTCCTGTTATTTAACCCATAGAGGGGTGAAGAGATTGAGTCTTTCTTTTCCCAAGTGAAAATCAAACGCAATTTGAACGTGTCCAGGCATCCTAGTCTGGTGTTCCTGCTATATATTTAGACATCCATGATAAAATCCAAAGTAGAATCTGCAATATCATTGGTCCTGACCAAACATCTCGGCTTCAGTCACTTTCCTATCGTAGTAATGTAGCTTCCATGTGTCTTTTCTATAAATACTTTCATAGTAATTATTCTAATGAACTTTCTTCTATGGTAGCTAGACTTTATGAATTTAAACGCAGTATTAGATTAGTGGCAAGATCTTAACATTTTACTGTTTAAATTGCTATATGTAACCGTAAGTTCTATGCTAACAGTTTCTTCTATCGAACTTCTCACTTATGGAATTCTCTTTCGGTTTTTTGCTTTCCAGTCAACTTTGACCTCCAAAAATTTAAATGCAATGTCAATTATTATCTTCTGTGTTCTTAATTCTCGTTCTTTTACTGTTGTCTCTCCTTAATAGTTTTTCTCATATTCTCTAATACTAAGTAACCCCCTTGCATTTTAGTGGCTTTATTGCCTTTAATCTTCAAAAGTTGAATGCAATGTCAATGGTTGTCTTCTATGTCCTTAATTCTTGTTCTTTTATGGTCCTCTCTCCTTAATAGTTTTTCTCATATTCTCTAACACTCAGAAACCCCTTGCATTCTAGTGACTTTATTGTCTTTAATCATCAAAAGTTTAAATACAAGGTGAATCGTCATTTTCTGTGTTCTTAATTCTTGTTCTTTTATTGTCATCTCTCCTTAAGAGTAGTTTTTCTCTATTTTCTCTAACAGTCAGTATCGCCTTGCCTTCTAGTGTCTTTAGTGCGGGTGAAATAACTAAAAAAATGAATTTGAATACAATACAAGTTTAGCAATAATGTCTCATCATAATACAGTTGAATTAGCAAGACGTAACCATCAGTTCTATGCTAGCAGTTTGTTCTATTGTAATTCTCGCTTGTTGAACTCACTTGCCAGTTAACTTTGATCTTCAAATATTTAAATGAAATATCACTCGTTACCTACGGTTATCTAAATCCTGGTTCTTTTCTAGTCCTCTCTTCTTATCTTCTGTTTTCTTCATTCTTATTCTTTTATTGTCCTACATCATTAATAATAGTTATTCTCTTATTCTCTAACACTCAGTAACCTCTTGCATTCTAGTCGCTTTATTGTCATCAAAAGTTTAAATACAAGGTGAATCGTCATTTTCTGTATTCTTAATTCTTGTTCTTTTATTGTCCTCTCTCTCTTTACCTCGTATTCTGTAATATTCGGTAACTCCTTGCGGATTTATTGCCTTGATTGAGGTAAAATTATTTAAAAAATCCTACTTTCCGCGTCGACAATTCTCTTATAAATATATCGATAGATTTGATTAAACCCAATGGATAAGGAATTTTTTTTAATATTGTTGTTAAGTTTCCTTGTTTCTAAGTGAATACAACATGTATGGATGCATCGAATGGAAATAATGCCCAACTATTTTGTCATTTACCGTTTACAACAATGCTTTCGACTATTGACAAGGAAAACTTTGGACGGTCTCGATTTATTATTATATTTTTAAGCATTTGCGTACATTTACATGAACTTCGCTTTCTTTTAATTGATATGAGACGCGCCTATGTAGTATAGGGACATAGCCTCATTACACTTGGTTTGATCGGGCAAACATAGACTTTCGTACTCGCAAAACAGAGTGTCAAAAGGACGATTTTTTCCCTTGACACCGCTATTATTTTAACTACCTTCACTCCTCGGCGCTGTTTATTATTTTTGTTGTCGATTCTCAAAAAGAAAGAAAATATATAAATTCACTTTCATACATTTATGTTTTATTACAATTTTAATCATCGCTTTTTAAGAAAATAAATATTGCCGAAGAGGTGAAGGTACAAAAACTAAAACCGGTGTCATAGGAAA